GCTACTCCTAGTCACAAGTCTCATATGACTTGGCTACTCCTAGTCACAAGTCTCATATGACTTGGCTACTCCTAGTCACGAGTCTCATATTACTTGGCTACTCCAAGTCAGAAGTCTCATTTAACTTGGCTACTCCTAGTCACGAGTCTCATATTACTTGGCTACTCCAAGTCAGAAGTCTCATTTAACTTGGCTACTCATAGTCACAAGTCTCATATGACTTGGCTACTCCTAGTCACTAGTCTCACCAGATGTTGACTGATCACCCTCTTGCTGGCGCAGGTCTAAACACCTTTGCCTTCGACAACACCTGTACGGGCTACGTGCAGAGCATCTCCAGTTCCTACTCCTGCGGTGTCGAAGCGGCCGAGGGCGTCGTGATGTTCACAGCAGACAAGTTATTTTCTCCTTGCATTTTCAGTGGTAAATCGTTCATACATTTCATCTAATTATCTCTCAACTAAAAATTTACGAATGGTCTGCAAAATTCTAACCGTATGACAAACTTTTTTCAATGACACCTAATAGAAATTCTTAATGACGCTTTATATTCAGAAAGGTTTGCAAAGTCTGTATTTTCAGCAATTTTCAGCATTTTTTCAGCAATTTGCTTTGATATTCAACTCCTGAATAAAATAGATAAAATTTGATCTTACCACTTTAAATTTTCAGAAACCTCGATCACAAACTTGACAGTGACAGCCTTCAACGGCTCCGGCATCTTCGTGAGTTGGGAGTCTGAGAACGTGATCTCGAGGACGTTTGTGATAGAAGTGCAGGGCGATCCTTCGGGCATTGAGATCCACGGAGCCAACCAGGCCTTCCTACCCTTCAGGACTGCGGAGTGCACGCCCTACACGCTCAAGGAGACAGGAGTATCAAGCAGCTCATGTGGCATTCCTCAGGGCAACATTCCTGCAAAGGGTGAGCGGTTGTAATAATGTAACGAAGTTTAAATGAATTGTGCACCATGAATGTAAAGTGGCGTAAAATAAAACTTAAATGTACTTGATTCATGCTAATTCCTCTTCATTTTAATGAAAACAGCAATGAGTACCACTGATTATATGTTGCATTGAAAGACAGCTTACGCGATTAGAAGATCGTACATGTTTTAGCAAGTTGATACAAGATTTTTAATGTTTTTGCATGTCATATTTTGCAGCACCGAATTTCAACTCATTCAGTATAACATCAAGACAACTACCGGACACGAGTGAGGTGTCGTGGGAGTCTCTGTCTCGCGTCGACCCTTGTGGACTGATAACCTACTTCAACGCCCACAACTACGCCTACATTGGAAACGACTGTACGAAGTACAAAGACTACAGAATGCCTACCGCGGACCTCCATTATGTGTTCCCTGATCCTACCTATGATCTGACTGTCACCGTCCCAGCTACCGGAGAAGTTCTTCTTTCCCGGGCCGGTAATGGCTACTACAGAATTGAATAATTTTGACTAAGGCAGTATATTAAACAAAATAAATAATGAAGTCTGCATGAGAGAAAAATTAACACTAAATTTAATTTACTCTACGGCGATTATTCGTATTTATTTAATAACTCAGTTTGTTTGGACAGTATTTTGGATTGATTCCAAGGACTACTACACACAGGACATGCATAGCCTATGTCCAGCCTCTGCTAGCAGAGGCGATCGCCTACACTATGAAAATGCTGATGAAACAATTATGGGCATATCATTTGTTGATGCCACTAAAACAACAGCATTTTCATAGTGTAGGCGATCGCCTCTGCTAGCAGAGGCTGGACATAGGCTATGCATGTCCTGTGTGTAGTAGTCCTTGATTGATTCTCAATTTTTTTTTCAGAGGGCTGATGATTGCAGTTGGAGTGATGGTTGCTGTGCGAGGTCATCATTGTTATCGGCGAGGGCGCTGACCTGAAGAAGAAAGCCAAACTCTACGAAAATAATGATTCAGCCAGTATCCTGACCTATTATGATCATTTGGTTAATGAATGTTTTGTCTTTTACAAAACGCATAAAATTCTTGATTTTCTTTGATTTATTCTTTTCCTTTGTTGCATCTTACTTTAGTTGTACTTAGAAGATGAGATAATAATTGACATTTCGTTATCGACAAGCGATCCTTTCAGGCAAATTGTCAAAATTAACACGTTATGGGTTAGATAATTAGTTGGATAATTGGATAGTATGCTGAAAAATAAGATAGACAATCCACACAACTACAATTTAGCAAAAAAACTTTGAATTTTAAAAAATAATGCAATTATTATTTTCAATTATTCACATAAGTGGTAGTGATCAAGATTCATGACAGGCGTGTTGATGAATTTCGAAAACAATGTAAATAAGTGCAATTAGAAATATATTCATATATATTAGCAACGTCCCACGGCGTGTCAAGATATATTGAACCATCGTAAAACAATCGACTGCCATACCAGAATGACACAGTTTGACAAGTCCTGTGATGTTGTGCCATGTATATCGTTGTGTACATCATTATGTTGACATTTTTATTTGGCGTACTGGCCGTGATGTATAGCTCGGGCACAAATTTCCTATTCTACGTCTTCATTCGCGAGTTATAAGGCTATACGTACAAACGACCAGCATTCTTGTGATCGAATGTAAAATTTGCAATGAACACAAAATGTCTCCCAAGCTAATGAATGCAGCTCGGTGGAACTTTGCACATGCGTTTATTAGCACCTAAGTGTGATGTTTAGGTTGTGACCATTTTATCGATCATGCATTCGTTTGCGACGTGAACTGCAATAAAGTGATAATGCTTCATACATATTACGATTACTTGTATGTAATGGATTCCGCGTATAGCCTTATGCGTCGTAAACGAAGACCAAATAGAAAAAAATTATCACCACGTAAACATCACTTTAGATCCTAATTGATGCATATGCAAAGTTTCAACGACCTGCGCTAATTAGTTTGGAAAATATTTTATGTTCGCTGCAAATTTGACAATCGGTCGCTGAAAAACGTCACTTTCCGTATAGCCATATAAAATCACGAATGGAAAAAAAATGGAAATTTTTTCACGCGCTTAACTTAGGTGATTTGGGTGATTAGTAATCTTAGGTGATTAGGAATGTTTTTTCATGCAGAGTTTCGCTCAAATATGCTTAGTTTTTATAAAAAAAATATGTTCACTGCAATTTTTGGCTCGTGTGACCATATAAGTTGCAAACGAACTGGAAGTAAATATAAGAGATATTTTATGTTCACTAAATCTTGGAGACCGGCCGTAAATTGTCCGAGAGGCATTGAACCTCTAAAGCTATCTTAAAAAAATGTAACTCAGTACTCACTGCAGCGAGTGACAGAGAGCGCATTTTCTCGTCGACGAAAACATGAAGTCACGGACGGACAGACAGACAGACAGACGGACGGACGGACAGACGGAAATGGCGAGCACAATAGTGCATTTTTTCCATAAATGAGAAAATGCGCTAAAAACACGTTCCGATTAATCTCAGTATTTATTACTTCAAAAATTGTCGAGACACTGACACCGTCAATCGAGCAGCCAATTATCTTACGTTTTAACTATACCTTTCAGTGATTATCTACTTCTTATATCACATACTGTCAAGTCAAACTTCACCTATGCTGTTTAAATTTATCAAACTTTTGAAAAAGTAACGCTTGAAATGTGCGTTTTACAATGGAAACATCGAAATTTGAGAAATGCTGTTATGTTTCTAGGTTCTATTCCGCATATACGGAAAAGATAGTTTTTTAGCGCATTTTCTCATTTATGGTAAAAATGCACTATTGTGCTCGCCATGTCCGTTTGTCTGTCCGTCTTTCCGTCCGTCCGTGACCTCAAGTTTTCGTCGACGAGAAAATGCGCTCTCTGTCACTCACTGCAGTGAGTACTGAGTTAAATTTTTTAGAATGAAGGCTGAATTTACTATTTTATTTTCTCCTACGTCAACTCTCCTCATAGGGATTCCTTACGGGTTCTGCTGTCGGACGGTCGTGCGTCTTTAGCTGTTCGGTTGTTAGGGTACTCGACTCCAATCTTTCCTTTTCCCTGATAATTTGAAGAGATTTGACATCCGATAATTTTTTGTGGGCCTTATTTGTAGCAAATCACATATTCATACGTTCTGTTTAGTTTCCCTAATATATTTGTCGTGTTGTTCTTCTTTCTTCAATTACCGCCCTGAGCGTGTGCAGCGATAGCAGACGCGACAGGGTTGGCTTCTCCCTTCATATTTGCGGCCAATTATGATGTAGATCACGGAGGGATCAACCATATGCGAGTTCTTACTTATAATGAGCTTTTAGAGGGAGACATAGATCTGATTGAAGATGCAAGTGTTACTTTGGGTTCGGTTGCCCCTGCACGGTGCACCTGAAGGCCGCAGCTGCAGCGTGAAGCGGGAATGCAATCCCGGCACAGTAGCCAGCAGTGATGATGACATTGAAGTATTTCAACCATGTTGGAATTCTAGGAAATTGTTGGTCATTTACATCCTCCAAGACGGACGGAGCGCTGCAGCTGGAGGGTCATGCAATTTGAAGGACCCTCAAGAGTGCTATTTGTTAAGGAAGGGACACTTATTTTGTAAGGAAATGGGAGTTATTTCTGCCGGCCCGCTCGTATTGGAGTGCGCGGCCGTTCCGCTGCTATTGCTAGGTAAGTGCACAAAATTTTTTTCCTCTGATCCCAATGAAAATTATACAGCTGAAAAGAGACAAAAATTTAGAAAATTACCATATAAATGTAAGTGGAACACAAATAAAATTGAAGAAGTTATTAATTTTTCTTTTATTGAATTATGTCTCCAAAATGGACTAATTTTTGGCACTTTTTCGGAAAAATATCATTCCTGGGTTTCTTCTGAGCCAATTACAAAGATTTCAGTACCATTAGAAAGCTCTTGTTGTAGGCTATCTATTGGTTTAGAGACATTTGGTAAAACATTTTGGTTGAGACTTTGACTGCAGGTGGGTGGGGCAGATGGGTGTGACTGATAGATTTGAATGGTATAAAATATAAATCAAGCAAAAGGCAGAATTTTACAGAATATATTCCAGTTGGACAAATAAATTATAAATAAATTATAAGTAAAAAACGAATAAATTAAAAATAAATGATAAATAAAAAATATATTATAGATAAATGACAAATAACAAATAAATGATAGATAAATAATGTAAAATTAAAAAATAAATGATAAATGAATGACGAACTCTCCTCCTCCACTTGAACTCTCCTCTCCATAGAAGTTATGTCAGCTTCAATATCAACAGGAGTGATGACTCCATAACAATTTTTCTCTTGATTAGATTGGGGGCACTTAACATACCATGGACCAAGCCGAGTCGTTTGCAAAAGAGAATCAATATCCTCTTCACTGCCATCAAATAGCTGGACAGCAATCAAACCTTTTCTGCGGTTCACTCGTATATCTTCCACACATGGTTGACAGAGCTGGGCAGCGCTACTTTGAAATGTAGTGGCTGCTACCGCTACATGCTTTAAATGTAGCGGGCGCTACCGCTACATTGCTTTAAATGTAGCGCCGCTACCGCTACCGCTACATGTAGCACGCTACTGCCCACCTCTAATGGATGAATATGGCGGTGCTTCCAATACTGAGCAGAGCTGCTCTGGTGAGGTCAGCATCCGTTTAGAGCCATCGTCTGCTGGGCGGATGAGGACCATCCAGGGATTTTGTTGATCAGTTGCGATGGGCAAGTGCAACCCAACAACATTGGAATTCCTTTGAGTTTATTTCACTAGGGAAGCTAAGATTATTAGCGCATTTTCTCATTTATGAAAAAAGGCGCTATAGTGCTCGCCATGTCCGTCCGTCTGTCTGTCTGTCCGTGACTTCACGTTTTCGTCGACGAGAAAATGCGCTCTCTGTCACTCACTGCAGTGAGTATTGAGTTATATTTTTCCAGTATTGGGTCGCTTCTTTGTATCTCCCAATATTTCTTCAATGGTTGCAGGCGCACTCTTGCGCTTCCGACGTACCGCTCCTCATTCTGGTGAGTTGCCATCTTGGGATGGGGAAGTTGCGTCTTCACCGATAATCTCAGTTACACTGAAATGTTTGAGTTGCGAATCGGTCATTGTCGGCTCTGATGCGTTTGGTGAAGCACTAGGGTCAATAAGATCTTGCCCCTCAGAGAAATTGATCATTGAGGGATCGTTTAGCACTTTTACAATTATAAGGAAACAGAGAGGTTTGCTGGAACGTCGTCTTTCGACATCGGTTCAAGCTCCTCTTAACACTCGGTCTGAATTTTGACGGACACATTTACTATTTTTACATGGGTGGGCAGTGAATTTTTATTGGTATTAAAGAACTGAAGAACTGTTTGTCGGCATTAAAGCCTTAATTTATTGAAAGTGAGTCTCAGATTTCGCTACTTGCCTACTGTTCACACACTTTTTTGTTAAAAATTAACTTACATCATGTCTAATTCTGATACTTCCAGTGGCCAATGAGTGGAGTTGCAGTAATTACTGGAGGGGTTTAAATAAAATTCAATATTAAACAGTATATAATGATACTATACTGAAATCAAGCGAATCTTAAAATTCACCACAGGTTTGAACTCGCCTCATACTATTTGGAAATTCAATAGCAGTAACTAGGAATAATTCATTTTTGGTTATGATCTTATTCATGTTGGAGACATTTAATTGCTCGTGGCCGAAATTTTAACTAAACAAATTGTCTTCATGATTGAATATGAAATATGTTATTTAATTGCGCATTTAAAATTACCCCGAAAAATGGGCTTATCGGAACGAATATGATGATCAGCAATTTTATTTCTTTTGAATTAAGAGCATTAAAATATGGCGCTCATAAACCAGCTTCTCTTTTATCCCATTTTAAAGCCATTTGTAAACCTTATTATAGGTTGATACTTTTATGTCTGGATCTTAACATGTTGATGGTTCTTGCATAAGTATATCACCTTCTTGTGAGTAGCATATATACCAGGTTACCCAAAGCGCAGGCACCGAGCTCGCATATCACATTCAGAGCAATGAATGGGTCATAGCTTCCAAATAATCACATTTTATGCATGTATAACTGTCGAAATTTTTGCCAGGCTTAACTGTGTCCAAATGACCTACTATGTATAAAGCTCAAAAAGTGCATCGCTATTTGAAAAATCTCTCTCGATTTTCTGAATATACTGGTCGATCCGCAGCGTTCACTGAAAAAACGTATTTAATTTTCAGAACGGCAATAGCTTTACTAGTATTCTGATGAAAGGGGTATTCGGAATTGTGTTAACGAACAAAAAACTATGATATAATTATAATTTCTGAGAAATTATGGGCATAAATTTCACATTCACATTTGCTCTGTGCTTCATACGACTAGGGTGACGTTGGAAGTAGTTTAGCGTGCACATTTAACGTGAAACTAACATCTCGCCCCCTACTTTACTTCACTCCTATGCGAAGAATTGTTCGCCAATTCGTTGCCTGACCTCGCAGCAGCAATTTCCAGGGCGCAAATGAAGCTCCGGGCCATATTATTTTCCACCGCATTCGTCGACACTTCAAGTCAGATTGTACAGACTAACTTTTGAATAATCTTTGGCCTCGGTTTACCTTTGGACTCCCGGAGTACAGCCTCTCATGGAAGCCTAGCCTGAGCAGGGTTAGGACCTTTGGACGCAAGGAGCGTGGGCACGTGCAGGAGTCGCATGTGCTACGATCGTCCTATCTGGCCCCACGGTTCCCACTCTGGCTGCGACCACTGCCTTGGCCCCGGCAACCTACTTTTGCGCGGGTGTGGACCAGTCCCAAGAAATATTAATTTTAATGGCAATGAAGATGAAACTGTAAGCAGTTTGTATAGAGAAACCGATAGTGGCAGCACTTGACCAGCGATTCACCGATGGATTTTTTAGCACTTCAGGTACGTCACTTTATATACGTAGGCACGGAGCACGTGGTGATGAGGTGCTAAATCCTATAACTTTTCACTTAAGCGTCGACCCCAAACTGACGAAATAAGCCCGTAATAATCGCTACTTCTATAATCTTTGACAACTTTGAATATATACGCTTCATACCAAGATTCTTTTTCAGCATCAAAATTTTTCACAATGCGTGGCAATTTACTTAGATTGACGAAATTTACTTGGCTTGAACTGGGCTACAATATTTTCTGAATTTATTGTGATGCGATTCAAATCTTATTAGAAAGTCATTTATAACAGACGCTATAGTTGCCTAGCAGAGGAGGTTCGACTTTATTTTCAGGAGCAAATTCCTAATTTTATTTTCAGGAGTAATTAAATTTCAGGAGCAAATTCCGTAGACTTTAAACTACGGAATTCCGCACCAAGGAATTTCCTGGCATATTTAGCAAGAAAGCATGCAGATTTTAAATATATATATTAGCATGTAGATTTTAAAATTTCTCAATATAGTTAATTTTTTATAGTTTATCGAGAATTTTCAGTGATAGCTCACTTAAAATCTACTATGCTCGGATATTTTTATTCCCCAAATGTTCTTTAAAATGTAGCAATTTGATCGACGATTGGCAATTGAACCTTCATTAATACACAGAAGCCATTACTACAGGTTATCAGTATTTGATCAGCTAGCACTTGAAGCGCTGGCCAAAGCGGTGCTTGCGGCTGCAAAGTTTAGGCCTTAAGGACTTTGAAAACAAATGTCAAACAACAGCCTCCAGAACCCATCCCACTCACCGGAAATACTTCCTATGGTTCCTTTAATTTTTGGGAGCCAAGTTACAAGCTCGTGGGGGGGGGGAGGCGTGGTGGGTGGTGGGTTGGGGCTGGCCTAACCCTCCCCCCCCCTCCGCTTGCTGAGGAGGCGAGTCATAGGCGTCCAGGGCGGGGAATCAAAGATGGCGGCCTGTCGTTGATAGCGAAAAATAACCCCAGCTCTCAAATTAAAGACTAAAAATCGCATTATAATTTTTCAATAATGATTAAATTATTGTTAAATTTTAATTTCCAATTGCAGCATCTTTCAAATAATGCTTATACGACACCATCGTTTTGTGAGCTGAAGAGTAGCTACACTACGTGTGAAATCAATCCACAATTCATTACTTGACTTTACGCAATTCAAATAGAAGTTCCAACTTTCTCGCTCTCGGGACAGTTTGGTGTAGTGGTTAAAGGCGTCGGTTTGGGCTAGTAGGATAGATCTGGAGGTCGAAGGTTCGAATCCCGGGCTGGTACTTCTGACGAAGTAGCAACTTCTGAAAAACCTCCAACCCCCAGTGGGGGAAGCGAACTCTCGCCCCCCAGACCCCCACTGCATAGTTCAAGCAATAGGCATAACCCATAACCCACCACAACAATCTGTCCCGCCCCCCTAGGGAAGGATATAAATATAAAGGTGCTATCTTCCGAAGGTTAGGGTGTAGCTGTAGGTAGAGACCGAGCTGTAGGTAAACGGGTTACGTGGAGGGGGGCAAAAAAATTTTGTCCGTATCCATGTTACTGAAGTAAAGTCCTATGTTGAAAGTCGCTCACAGGCTATATAATTCTCTATGACAATCACTTTAACTTAAATCAAACAGTCCCTAAACCAACTGGAGCAAAACCATCTAATTGCAAGTGTGAAACCTTCCTTGTAAAACCTTTTTATACTAACTTATGATCATCGTAATTTTCGAAAATCAGTTAACAGGTTTCGTAATTCGACCTCCGATCTTTGGTATTCCTTGTTTCTATTTCTTCGCTACTCCTTGTATGTTTGTATTTATATGAACCTGTAATATTGGTGCCGGGAATAAACCATGATTTAAGTTCAGTTATTCTCAGTATTACAAAGTCAATATGCGGCTCTCTTTGATATTTTTCTGCGCTTAATGAGAATATAAATTAGCATCCTTGCTTGAAAATTCTCGTGTCTCGCATTCTTTTTACTGCGGTTTCTTGAACAGTTGATGTTTGAAATTTCAGTGGTCGCGGATCGTACGTGTTCTTCCAGGCCTCGTGCTATGTCGGGTTGCCTGAAGGTTGTTGGTTTGTTGTTACAGAAATTTCTCATGGCCAAACCGCCAATGATACATCCTCCATGCGATAAATTTCGTTCATCCTCGGAGCATGAATGAATGTTCAGTCCAGTAAATGAACCTGTAGTTCCGTAACTTAACTGTTCAGTCCGGCTGAAGTGAACATTTGTTCGGTTCGTTGGGAACTGAACATAAGTTCAGTCCACGGCCCGCTGGCAGGGAACGGATCGTGACTAGCACGTGCCCGGCAATACGGTGTGAACCAAGAATTAAAAAATATAACTCAGCACTCACTGCAGTGAGTGATAGAAAGCGCATTTTATCATCGACGAAAACGTGGTCACGGACGGACGGACAGACGGACAAACAGACGGAAAGACAGACGGACGTACATGACGAGCACAATAGCGCCTTTTTTCCGTAGATGAGAAAATGCGGTAAAAACTCACAACAGCCATAAATTTGTCTTTGCTTCTAAGTTATCATGCTTCTGCCAATCACCAATCATCTGACTATCGTTCCATACATAGCATCATCCCCTACTATGCTAAACAATTAAAATGTGACCATTTAAATGACAATTTAAAGTGGAACATGAAATTGACGCTCCTTCCGCATTTTTTTAAAGACGGAAGTAGCATCATTATCTATTCAATTATTTAAAGTAATGCGATGAAATAGTATTAAGTTGAAGTTGGATATTTACCCTATTAAATTTACATATTTGAATTTAAATTATATCAATTTTTGTTAGCGTCTTGATCATATTTGATAGATTCTACCCCTATATTATGCTCGATTTACTCTCTTATTATGCTGAATTTCAGAAAATCAACACGATTATATATATTTTAGAATGGTTCATAAATTCTTGCAATGAATTGAGAAATTTGAATTTTTGCATATATCAATGCTTGCCCGCGAAAGGGTAAGACGGCGCCGATGTAGGATACATACAAGATTGTGAGCTAAGCTGTGTGCGACCATTGATTATGGGCCCATTACTAGACAATCCAAGAGCAATACGCTAACGGAAAAGCCATTGTGGCGTAAACTAACTTGAACCTGAGAGAATAATAAATGCATCAAGATATATGTCAATTCGTGTTCATATGAGCGATGTGAACTATACGTAAACAAAATATGCGATAAGTTTAACAGGTTCATGTATCTGGTTTGAAAGAAGCCCGTGTGAATCCCCGCCGCAAGCACATTATCATAGAAGCACGGGTTGAATTTAAATCGTTTCAGACAGATAGAACTCTATTGCCCAACTTGCAGTGCAACACTTACCTCGAGGTTCAGGGTGAGGTCACTTCATTCTCGAAGTAAGGTTCAGATTAAACAACTTGTTAACATGGCACGTATACTTGAAGTGACGTATATCATCACATATTACGTCTTGATGTTTTGCAGCTCCCGGTTGTTAGACGGGCTATCTTGCACACTTTCTCACAGGCTTATCAATATCAGTTGCAGTTACAATCGCGCTGTTAGAGGACCGTCCACTGAAAATTATCGGTTTACGTCCAGAAGATCGTTTAGTTTGAGCCTTATAAGAAACGTCCAAGTCCGGTGTACTTGTTACCAAGTCGTCGCTCATCGCGACTGCCGTCTTGACTTTCTCCACTGGGAAGCTTTTACCTGAAAAAAAATCAGTATTTATTGCTGATTTACTGTCTGAAACGTCTTGAATAACCTTGTAAAGATTAACTAAAAAACAGCGGCATGATTTTATTGAAATAAGGTGCAAACTCGACGAGCTTGTCGCTCCTGACGCAAACCAATATGAGTAACTAGTTGACTTGATAACGAAAATAAATCAACAGTTAATAAAAATTTACCCATTTATGCAGGTACGTAAAAAACTGTCAAAAGTATATTTAAAGTTGAAATTCACTGGTGCTTTGCACATCGCTCCAAACTTTTTTGGATCAATTTCTCGAGATTTATTTATGCCGGTCTTGCAGTCTCTTGGAAGCTTTCGAACTACTGCTCACTCGCAGGTTTCGCTGTAATTTTGCACACGAACTTATGGGAACCTATCCGTCGCGCCCAAGTTATGGGATTTTTCAATTTTTATTCATTTACAGGTTATGGAGCTTCAGAGATTAGAATTTTTATGAAAAACAATCTCGGTATTTGGAAAATTATTTTGCTAATTCAATTTATGGTTTGTTAGATTCCTTGTTAGATTGGACGTTAGATTCCTTTTTAAAGACGAAAACCATTCGTCAATGAAATGCTTTCATAGCCATATAACTTAGTAGTCTTTTTCGAAAAATTTAGTTTATTTTGAAAAAATCGCATGATAAACACGTGCGTAAGACTCCCAAGAGTGTTAAATTATTTATCAGAATATGTTCTGTAAATTTGGTTACCTGCAAATTGGAAAACCGCTGCTAAATTGTCCTGTTGCTTCAAAAATTGTCAACATTGCCATAGTTTTGGAAATTTTCATAACAAATCTCGAGAATAATGAACAAATAGTGATTGATCAGTTAATGTCAAGGTTATAAACTTCAAAAGCCGCCTCAAACAGCGCAGCTAACTCACGATCTTTGCCTGAATTTCTGAGAATGACACCAAATGATGTAGCTTCGCTCTCGGAGTTGCTGGGGTTTAGTTGCGGCCTGACATCCTTGGCAGCAGGAGGTGGGAGTGAAGAGGCTGTGATGGTGGGGAGCTCCACTGAGCGGGTCAGACGAGGAGAGAGGGCTTCTGAATTCATCCTTCTTCGTCGGCTTTTCCAGAAAAGCAACCCGCATGCGAATAGTGCTGAGGGGAAAGAAACAATTAGGTTTTATTGCGAAATTTCTCATGGAATTATATATGTTCAGCTCGATTTTTTGCTACTGTACATTTCCTCTCGAAATAAGGTTCTAGAAAATTTATTGCTACGGTTTTACTGCCAAAGAAATGAAGATATTCTGAAAGATAGATGAATTGGTTTTATTTCAGGTATGAAGATTTTTATTTGTTGACAAATTAAATATGATGAATTGTCAATAAAACGTTCAGGCGAAAAGATAATCTAAAGTGTATATGAATCAAATAGTTCCTGCTTACAATTATCTTTTATTGAATTTGAAAAGCAGAAAGGTAAATGAAATGGGGCATTGTTGGAACATAGGTGAGGATTTGACAACAGGACAAGAGAAGCAACATGCTGAAAACCGACTAAACAAACTACTGTTTAAATAAGATAATGAGAGAAAAGAATGAAAGTAATACCAAGGATCCCAGAACAAAACTTGAATAGATGTTGCGTTCTGAATAGATGAACAGAACAACTCAATAAATACATCAAACATGAATCAATACATATAATATTACTTAGGAACAAGACAAGAGGTCAAAATAAACAACAGAAAAATACCACAATAATCAACGGAGAAAAGACAAAACGCCACAATAATTAAGAGGAAAAATAAAAGAAACCACAACAATCAACAGAAACAACACGAGCCGCCACAATAGACCCCAGTATCAACACGAGCCGCCACAATAGACCCCAGTATCAACACGAGCCGCCGCCACAATAGACCCCAGTATCAACACGAGACACCGCAATAGACCCCAGTATCAACACGAGACACCGCAATAGACCCCAGTATCAACACGAGACACCGCAATAGACCCCAGTATCAACACGAGNAGAAACAGGAACATGGGGAAAGTATAAGAAACAGGAACATGGGGAAAGTATAAGAAACAGGAACATGGGGAAAGTATAAGAAACAGGAACATGGGGAAAGTATAAGAAACAGGAACATGGGGAAAGTATAAGAAACAGGAACATGGGGAAAGTATAAGAAACAGGAACATGGGGAAAGTATAAGAAACAGGAACATGGGGAAAGTATAAGAAACAGGAACATGGGGAAAGTATAAGAAACAGGAACATGGGGAAAGTATAAGAAACAGGAACATGGGGAAAGTATAAGAAACAGGAACATGGGGAAAGTATAAGAAACAGGAACATGGGGAAAGTATAAGAAACAGGAACATGGGGAAAGTATAAGAAACAGGAACATGGGGAAAGTATAAGAAACAGGAACATGGGGAAAGTATAAGAAACAGGAACATGGGGAAAGTATAAGAAACAGGAACATGGGGAAAGTATAAGAAACAGGAACATGGGGAAAGTATAAGAAACAGGAACATGGGGAAAGTATAAGAAACAGGAACATGGGGAAAGTATAAGAAACAGGAACATGGGGAAAGTATAAGAAACAGGAACATGGGGAAAGTATAAGAAACAGGAACATGGGGAAAGTATAAGAAACAGGAACATGGGGAAAGTATAAGAAACAGGAACATGGGGAAAGTATAAGAAACAGGAACATGGGGAAAGTATAAGTAACAGGAACATGGGGAAAGTAGAAGAAACAGGAACATGGGGAAAGTATAAGAAACAGGAACACTGGAAGTAGCCCCCGAGTGTAGAGTGTCACCAGCAAGCAACGCCAGGGCAGCGGTGAGCGTCGCCAGCACCACAGCGCCCCCCGCCCCCCACGACGCGCGCTCAACTCTAACGTCGCAGTTCAGGCCCGTGAACGACGGGGGACATGAACAACGGTAGCCTGGGACATGGCGGTAATAAGAATCTATTATTATTATTATTATTATTAATGTTTACAATAATAAATTGGATATAATAATCTTAGTTATTATTATTATAAGAAGTAGGTCCATTGTACGTTGAACTATGTACTTATGTTTCACGTACCTAGAACTAAGCATAGGTTTAACAAGATGCAGGCACCCTGTACGGGCTTTAGACAAAATCTAGGTACACGGATGCAAACTTACTTAAACGCAAGAACTGACTTGATAATATGTGGAAACAATGCTACAGACAATGTCGCAAGTTTAAATAGACGTAATGGCCTAACAAGACAAAAAAAAAAAAAAAACAAAAAAAAAAAGCTCACCTAGATGTAACTACATGAAGGCTTAAGAAGAAGAAATTTCGCGCATACAAGCTGACATAGATTATCCTAACGTCTTGACATGTATGTACACTAGTACACAGACGTATATGTTCACCTAGTGGCACATTGGTACAGGTGCCGCCATGCAAGCAAGGAAAGTAGTCGCACTCATCCACGTCGGAACAAATGGAACCGTCGGCGCTGAGAACAGAGCCCGGGATGCATCTGAAAGCCATAGATACCCGAATAGAATAATATATATTTATTGATATTCCTGGTAGCAAGTAGAAATTATTCTCAAATTATAGGTCAAAGAGTTGGAGATTTGGAATGATTATCTTGTTTTAAATAAGAAATTTATTAACTCATTTTTTTAACTACCAAAGTATCTATTGTCTCTATTTGCTCAAAGAGAATTCAAGATGTTGCTCGCCTGCTGGACTATTGACTCGTGCACACAAAATTAATACATGGATTGTCTCCGCTCGTTCATACAGAACATCTTACGTGGTTACTTATTATAGTGGTATTGACTGGACTCGTTCATACAGAACATCTTACATGGTTACTTGTAGCGGTATTGACTGGACTCGTTCATACAGAACATCTTACGTCGTTACTTATAGCGGTATTGGCTGGACTCGTTCATACAGAACATCTTACGTGGTTATAGTGGTACTGACTGGACTCGTCCGGTCAGAATTAACTACGTAGTTCACCTGCAGGAGTATTGCCTCCACTCGTCCACACAAGTGTAAGGGTCAGGGCAGGTCACGTTCAGACACACGTCGGGGGGCAAGCAGCCTTCCGTGACGCCATGTGACGCCTCCGTGCGGTGGTGTTCACTGGCGGGGGTCGAGGGGCTCAGGGAGATAGGGAAGCCTGCCACGTGTAGATCGTCCAGACAGCCTGTGACGTAGAAGTTGCGGTTATCATGTCGCTTTAAGAAAAATCCCCGTTGAACGGTCTCACTGGCGTTCTAGTGGCCGGCCGACACGTGAAAAAACACCGTATGACCGTTTTTATTCAAATTTAACACTATAGTAACCAGTACAACATCTAAAAAAACAGCGAAACGGTTTATTTTCACGTGGCGGCCGGTTACTAGAATGCCGGTAAGACCGTTTTTTTTACCATTTTTAGCGCATTTTCTCATTAATGGAAAAAAGGCGCTATTGTGCTCGTCATGTCCGTCTGTCTGTCCGTCTGTCCGTGACTTCACGCTTTCGTCTACGAGAAAATGCGCTCTCTGACACTCACTGCAGTGGGTACTGAGTTATATTTTTTTCTAACAGTGGCAGCCGATAAGGTAAATGACCATTAATTTACATAAATTCAAGAGCAGGTGGGAAAATCATCACCTTCAAAAGGAAATACTAGATATGTTAATACGAGTATATGAACATCATTGATTCATTCATGGCTTCATATCACGATATGGAACTGAAACACCATTTCTATGCTAAGAAGCCGAAAAGTTAACTGCCAAGGTCTAAACACGCTGATGATCTAACATTTTAACAGGGTGGCCCAGTGGTTAAAGTTCAGAGTACCAAGATTGGAGCAGAGAGGCCCGGGTTCGATCCCAGCTCTGTGCGCCAGTTTCTGGTCAGAATCGGCAAGGAGGCCGGGCGGTTAAGCACAGCAGAATTGTAGCAGTGAGTTGCGAGTTCGAGACCGCAAAATGCTGTGAATATTCTGCGATGTTAAGAATCGGCGACAGGCCTACGGCCTAATAACGCTGAAACCGCTATTATATTATTATTATTGACGTACTCGTTAGGATATGAAAAAAAAAAATTAAATTCGCTCATGATACGCACCGGCTTTAAAGTTGCTGTAGAGCATTGGATAATCAGTGATGAGATCTTGTAGAATATCATCATGAGATGAGAGGTTGTTACTTCGACGTGAATCATCAGATTCTCGTTTCATAGTGCCCCCGTTTCTTGCCCACGGTAAATACGGCGTTCTGAATGCTTGATTCTTTAGTGGCACTTTAAATTTCTTTGCAGATTGGCCGTTTCCAACTACATTGATTCGGCCGTAACTAAGGGCTTCAGGTCTGTCGTATCTATCGACATTGATTTGGTCGATGTCAACACCACTGCTGCTGACCACAGCACCACTGCTGCTGACCATAGCACCACTGCTGCTGACCACAGCACCACTGCTGCTGACCACAGCATCTCGCTGACGACGTTGAGCTGAAGGTGAAGAGGACAAGGCGAGCTCGTATGCTTGGAGAGGTTGGGTGGAAGTCTTGGCATAAGCCTCCCCTTCATCCATGATGAGCTCAAGGGTGTTGCTGTACCTGCGGGTTGCAATTCTATAAGTTCATCACATAATATGCTGGTAGATTACAATGAAAAAGTTTATTAATTTGATGGAACTTTAGTTTATTTTTACGATTGCGAAGTTGAAAAAATGACAACAGGAATAAGGCTTAGAATTATTCTATAAGAATTTCTTACAAATTTATACAATGATCTAAAAATACTCAATCTGAGTTAAGTTCGTTCTTTTCTCGAGGCTTAAAATCGCACACACGATGAGAAAAAATTGTCCCGAATCAAGCCCGCCGACACCTACAATTCGGACTTCGGTGAATCAATTCAACTTCCTTTTTTCAATTTACCAACCTGATGATCCTAATTGAACTATATATCATCTACGCCTTCTTAACACTGTAATAGTTTGAGCCACTGTTTGGATACTATATTATTTTAAACGGAACACTTTACTTCCTTTTATTTTGTTGCTTTTATCCATCTTTCTTCTAACTTTTATTCTCTTTACCTTCCAGGCGGAGAGCAAAATCAGTGAAGAGAATAATTGAATCTCTCACGTTTGCATGACTATGTCTGCTTATGCATACTATACAAGTGAAATTGCATATATTATGCACAGTCTAATTATTGTGGTACATAGTTTGAACCGATGGATAAAATTGAAGTTCAATAACACGCATACAAATACAGTTGGAGTGAACTAACAAGTCAAAAGTAAGTTGTCTTTAACCTAAACGGTATCAATTGAATGGAATGCGTCACTGACCTATGAGCTTTGATGTTGTGCCAGAGACCATCTGACGCTGAGGCATCGAGGCAGACTGAGACGTAGTGTGAGGCGTGAGTTTGGAGGCTGAGGCAGGGTCGGCCGACTCTCAAGTCCAGGACCAGGTTCTCAGCGCCCGAGGCTGAGCGCAGAGCTAAGACGAGACTGCTGCGCACCCTTGTGCGTATTCTGTGTCAGAGACGAGAGTGTCACAGATACGTGCGTATCAGAGACGCGGGATAGTGTCAGAGACTTTAATAAGAATTTCCGAGACATTATACCGTAGAAAGAAGTAGGAATTTAATGTTCATGCTTTATACTAGTGATTTTTAACAGATTTGTAGATGCAATCAAACTAGCCATCGAAAATTTGTGGTGTAAAATTTATCACGCTGAGATAAATTTTAGAGTCTAGAGTCGGACGATTGATGAATCAACAATCTCCAAAAAATTAATTTATATATTTTTGGTATTACTTTGCTATGAATTAGCACACATTATATTGTGTACGGATAATGTTCTATTTGTAACAGGAACATACCCACTCCTAAACGTGTTTAGCATTAATTTTCTTAGTTTTTACTGCCAAGTGCTTTCTTAAATGATATTCGTTGCTATATCTAACATCGGTAGTATAGAAATTAAAATTGAGCTTCTCAATATTCAGTTTCAATTCAAATTTTTAACATGGGGTTCATGTTTGCTTGAATATCTCGTTATGACATGCTCTAGTTTTTATTCTTAATTCACCACGACAGCTGGATCGACTAGATGAACCTAACAGTCAGAATTGTTAACAGTTGATTGATGTTTCATGGTTTGGGCTTTGAATCGGCTCACGGCAGACACCACCACCTGCTAGCAAGTATAACGCTATACAACTTGGTTGTAGAGCATAATGTTGGAAATTGTTGAGCACTGATGAATGTAGACAGTAATAATCGCTGGTGAATACTGGAGAATGTTGAGCGCAGGTGAATGATAGAGAATTCTGCGCGCTCGTGTTTGTTGGAGAATGTATGGTGCTGTAGGAACGAATTTGATCACTTGTGTATGGTGGGAAATGCGAGAAAATGCTGCGTACTGTTAAAGTGATCCATTCCATACATAATTCGCCTGAAGATATATGGAGGTATTTATCAACAGCTGTGCAAGTTATAGAAATTTGTTGGATAATTCTCCAAACCGAATTTTTCCTGTGCGACGCGTAAGAAGCAGCCCTCGGAAGCGAGGCACTCTGCATGTCAACCCAGCGAAAAATCAATTTATCAAAGCAGCCTTCACGCCAATATAAAACCAAGCAGCAGCTCTTGGCCTAGGATAGATGTTGTTCATATTTTCATTTACAAGTTCAATTTACTTTGCATCGCCTTTAATTTAAGACTGTTTCCAGTGTAAGTTAAATATGGCCATTATTTTGTGATGCACAACGTATTTGAGAGCCGATTTGGATTTACGGGGTGCCTGTATGTTCAACTTGTATCAACGCTGTGGCACTCGAGATAGAAATAAGTGGTTTTCTTCTTGTCCAATTGCATTCGTGTGCCGCGTAAATGAGTTTTCTTCTATGCGTCTTTTTATTCCCATGTTAACCCTCTACCGCCGTATGCCACTCTCCGAGAACAGAACTTTCAAACGAAATTATATATATACGTAAACTATATTGAGTGTAGCAACCTAAGGATGTTTGTACGCAACAGAGAACATTTTAAAGTTGTTGTACGTGGCGGCAACCATCAGTGCAAGTCATTTTGCGCTCACTAGGACGTATCCTTTTTGAGAAGTAGGCTTGTGACAATATTGCAACGGTTACTCATGTTAGGCGGTAGAGGGTTAAAACAGGATTAATAAGGTGTTCCTACACACCCGTGAAGGAACGTCGGTATGTTGTGTCTAATACGCGCGCTTCTTGGTCAGCGGAGAATTGAACTGATGCTAATAAGGTCAATTGTTATTAGTAATTGAATAATTATTGAAAAATTATAATTCTCCCACTAAAAATGAATTTTGAGGCCCAAGTAATATTCCGACACATTGATTACGTGGATCGTGCCCGAACAACTCCTGCATGTGGCGTCATGCTTATAACATAAATAAACAAATTTTGACAAACATTAATAAGAAAAGGGGAGCAAATTTTGCATTTTGCAGTATAAGTTGAGTCATGAAACAGAAATTTCATAGAAATTACTCAGATAGTAGTTATTATTCGAGAAGCATTCAATTACCAATAGAAAGAGACAAAAATGAATTAGAAACGGAATTGTTGCATAAAACATTTTACTCCACTCATCTGCGACATGTGCAATAATGGGATGGAATTTTCAATTAACTCTGATGTTTAATGCTAAATGTATTTTATTGTTCAATTGTTTGCATCATAGAAGTCGATTATATAGGAAAACGCGCAGGCCATCCCGCGTCTATAACTCGGACAACTGTTCGCAAGGACAGAATCTATCCACTTTCGGAAGACATACTAACTGATCTATTCACTTCCGTGTTGGATAGATTATGAAAAGAGCAGAGAAAAACTGGGTGACAAGCCAAAATGCCACTATTATGACCCAGCAGTAATGTCAATATTGATTGTTCTCTGGAAGGCAGTTATAAATCTACTAAACTACTGAAAACGATTTTAGTTACTGACACTGAAAATTATATTAACTGAGGATAAAATTCATAGTGAGAGTAAAAAAATAAATGATCGATACCAATAAATAATACGATTCAATTTCATAAAAAATATGATCTTAATACGCACAGATTAAAATTAACGGAACTTGACATTAACGGAACGTGTAGCGTGTGCAGACCTAAGCTCTAGGGCGGTGAAGGCAGGAGGGGGCGTGAAGAGCAGCGCCACCTGCACGAAGCCGCTGCTGGAGAAGTGCGTGGGCAGCGTGGGCACCCCGCACTCTGGCGCCTGCCACCCCGGCGAGCACTGCCACACCCCGAGCGTCTCGTCGCACCTTGGTTGTGGCACAAATTTGGTGGTGAGTTGAGGTAGTGGTTCGAATAGGGTGGTGGTTCAGATGGGATAGTAGTTCAGCTGATGTGAGATATAAGATAGCGGTTGAGATTGAATTGCGGTTCGGGATTGCGGTTTACTACCCTCATTAATATGAGGGTAATAAAAGCTATTAATCGCGTAATGGCATTAACATGTGATTAATCTTATCCAGTGCTTACAATTTTCAAAATAATAAATTTTTGTAAAATGATAACCTTCAAGGTAATTATGCTATCATAGTTGCTAATTATATAAATTATATTGAATGCGCATCTCAATCGGTAAGTGATTAATGTTATACTAAATACATACATGCAATCAGGAGAGGATATACTTGATCTACGCAAATGCCCACCTGGAATTAGCAGGCCGAATGGCGAGGTCACAAAGTTGTGTGCGGCAGCCTGGCCACGACTGGCTGCTGAGTAATGATCTTCCAAGATCTTGCAGCTGTAAAAACATCGAAAGTTTATTTAATGGATGATATAAATTCATGGACTAGTGTGCATGAAATCTTAGGGTAAATCGCAACCAATTGAGGTGGTGCATCTGAAATGTTCTCATCTAAGTCCAATTTTAAGCGGCTTCAAGGTCTCCAGGACTACACTTGACCCTTTCGAATGAATATAAGTATTAGAATCAATTCATTTTTTCGTCCCACTTCTCATCCCTACATTCCGTACTAGAGGAACGCTTCTCATATTTTACGAAGCAACGTGCAAATATAAGTCTAAACTACCTTGCCGTTGACACGCAAGTTCCTAATGCAGCCCGTGAAGGACATGTCGTCTGAGAGCGTCGACACGGACGCCCTGAAGCCGAGCTGCAGAGGCGCCCCTGCCGTGTTCAGAGTCGCCGTGTTGCCGGGTACTGCGGAGCTCACGCGACACGATGTGCGCAAAGGGCGCCACGATATTGCTGGGGGTTGACCAGAGGCGGGGGAAGGTTGATCTCCGGCTTGTGATGTCGGGTCAGCAGCGAGGTAAGGATGGTCGATGATGACTAAACCACGATCGGAAGATGGGATGTTGTTTTCAGAGGAAAGCTCAGAATTTAATGAGCTAGAAAAATGTGAGCTTGAAGCGTCGGAGAATGAGAAAGGCTGGAGCTTCGGAGAAGATGAACGCCTAGGGTCGACATGGTAAGGAGAGTCGCTGGAGACGAGAGGGTTCAATCTATGTGATAAGCGAGATTGAGGTACGAAAGGTAGGGACGAAGAAGAGTGAGAATTGTAAGATTGAGATTTCTTAGCCGAATTCGAAGAGAACGAGTGTAGCTGCGGGAATACGCAGTTATCAACCACCATCTCCACGTGCTGAAAAGGTCAACATTTTGAATGAAAAAATGATAAAAAAAAGTTTCTAGTATAATACTAGTCTCTTCTAATAATAGGTTTCATTGTAATATCAATGCTTGAGAATAAATTCCTCGCGCAAGCCAATGAACATTTAAAAATAAACTCCGAGTCTTAGACAGTTGCTCCAAAACATTCAGGGCTGATTACATTTTATATCAAAGAAATACGAATGATTAAAATCTATAACTAAACTACCTGTCATCTTCATACCCGATTCCTCCAGAAGATGTCGATATTGTGCCACTTCAAGTCGTTGACGGAGACATTGGCGGTGAGTGTCACGGATATTCCTCCGAGGGTCAAATCGAAAACAGGAATCCCGTTTTTCAGCTGGAGCTTTATTCCAGATTCCAAGCCTCTGTCCGTTGTGCTTGACAAAATGAGAACGTCGTCGGATTCAGTAAGCAGATTGAGACTCAAGCTCAACTTCGAACACGTCTGCAACGGTGGCAGCCATACCCATGATCCGGACACATTGTCCGGACCTGGAGCAGTTTTGTCGCGACGGTTAGAACCGGGCTTGGTTTTGTGGTGGTGAAGAGAAACAGTAGTAGTTTTGGTCTGACGGTAGAAGTGTCGTGACAGGATTTTACAGTTGGGACCGTGACTGCCTTCCGGACACACACACCTGCCAACTCGAGACACAGAGTGACCATCAATTGGCGTACACGAGTATTAGGTAGTAGTATCATTTGGCTTAAGTGTTTTTTACAGTCAAGAATACGTTTTTATAAATGACTAGTTGTGAATAACAGAAATTGATACTTTTACAGAAAATTTACCCTAAAGGAGTATTATTTATGACTCGAGATTGTAGCACATACAACCCATGAAGAGCTTAGAAAACACCACTCCTTCAACTTCTAGTGAACCTTGAATCGGGTGGGGGAAACTCACTTGAAGCCAGGGAAGGTAGGGAGACAGCGGCCGCCGTTAAGACAAGGACTGGATATGCACTCGTTTAGTCTGGATTGTAACCCTGCGTTAATCATGGCATGGGCATGCGGAGCTTCTTCTTCAGGTGAAGACTTGTGGTACTTCACCTCCATGTGGTGGGGCATGGATTGACTAAAGGTTTCAGTGGACAATTGGTGAGTGTCCTTAGATTGTTGGGTGTCTGTGGATTGCCAGAGGTTGTCCGAGGGATGTTCAGTGTCAGTGAATTGATTGCGAATTTCAGTAGCATTTTCTTCGTAGTCATGTGGAGAGAAGAGTCCCAAGAGATGAGTCTCACCAGTCACTTCCTCGGACTTGCTACTCGAATCCAAACATCGGCAGTTAGGGTCAAGTCTCAGTGCTGGACCCACAAAAGTTTTGTCTTCAGCCTCAACCAAGTGAACTCCTTCCCCTAAAACTACCTTTGGGTTGCAACAGCAATCGCATTCTTCGTGGGACCGAAACTTGCGGAGGTGTAATCGTTTTCTGTGGAAAGAAATTGACGAGTTTTTGGGCGATAACTGAAATTTTCGTTTCCAGACGTCATGAACGCGGTCGAATACTCTCTTTCTTCGGTTGATTCGACTTTTGTTGGTCATAAAACGTGAGAACGGCGGTGGTGGGTGGTCAAATTTTTCAGAGACTTTGTTGTGCGTTAGAAAAAGACCCTCACAGCCCTCAACCGCAGCCCTGTTGACGCCAGGGCCAAGAATGGTAAGCCCTAATGTGTCTTCCATCTGCCCACGATAAATTTTGGTCCGATTAACTCAGTATTACAAATATCTTACGCTTATTTTTATTGATATCACCTCGAGCCTTGTTTTCTCGGCGATCATCTAAATTGAAAACTAGAAAGATTCCGTAGAAAGGTATAGGCTCTAAATTAAATAATTACGCCTTAGGGTACTCCAAATTAACAACGACCTTCGCTATTTATGAAGATTATCGTTGCTCGATTTTGTCGATTGTTCTCCCATAAGAAATATTTTATTCAACCAAAGAAGAGGAACAGGTTCATAAATGTTTCTCAGATGAGCATTCGATTCACAAATAAACTATTCCTGATAGACGAACTTCATTTTTTCGCGAGTGCAGGAGGAGAGGAAGAATCTCCAGCGAGGGTGCGTGGAACCACACGCGAGTGATGGACTGACCATCAGAAGCGTTCACCGACTGCAGCGATACCACCGAAACTGACGCGGGCGTAGCAACAGATGAGGTGGCATCGCTTGTAGGCCTAGATTTTTCAGGTCGAGCAAGGATTCGAACCAACGATGACAGCAACGACGTTCCCTTTAGTGGCGAGTGAATTGTATGATCGCTACCTTGTCACTAGTTATTTCTATTTAAATTGGCCTACTCTGAAGAAAGTATTCAAACATTGCGGCGAAACCTGAATCTAATTTAATTTCATGAACTTTTTGTGAGTTAAATTTAAATTGTCTTCATTGATTCTGAAGGTATACCGTAGAAGTACATTTGAAACATAAGACACACGCAACACCCACTGCAAACCTCGTGACTGATAAATTATCAGAATCCTCAAACATTCACAGTCAAGCGTAGGATATATTTTAGGAAACCTACCTTGGATTTAGACAGAAGTGATGACGGTGGACCCGCAAAATCGACGGCGATGGCCTGGAGAGCCGTCTGACTGTCAATTGTGCGCAATGTGATGGCAACGTGAGCATTTGCTAGACGGTCAGACGGCCGTATTACGGACACCAGGATATTGTACCTGATAACACAATTTATTATTGCCGGGATCATTCATTTCGGCAGAAATTGCTTTCATTCGTGAATAGGATGAATTAATATTCATAGCTGTTGTCAAAGGGAAGTAACGGTTCTACCGATGCCACAGAATTACAACATCCAAGAATCAGAACAACCAAATGAATGACTAAATGAACGACAGAAGACAACACATGTACATATCGAGATGATAGAGAAATAAATACGCTATAAAATGCACATGGAGGCAAGAAGGCTTACTCTCCCTCAGGCTGGGAGGCGTCAAGGCTGAGTTGGCCGCTGTAGGAGTCCACGAGGAAGCCCTCAGGAACTACGGACGTTGGCCACCCAAAACGCGTCCTTGACGGCACCTGAGGGTCCCCCACGGCGCGCCCCAGAGGCAACCTGCTTCCTGCTACCGCCTCCTCTGTCTGGTGGGAAGGAAGTGGATCATATATATCATATATGTTATATCTATAATATATATCATATGTGTCATATGTATCATATATGTTATATATATCATTTACATAATATATATCGTATATAGCATCTATAGGTAATAAGTTTCGTTACATATTTTCACATACTTTGATACCCAATAAAATATGGGCACATCATGGCCTGACACATTTTATTATATCAAGTGATGTCGCTAAAACAACTTCAGAAATTAAACAATACTTAGATACCTAGGAACTAAAATTTTATTGTATTACTTATACCATAAAATTCAAAAAGGTGCATAAAGAAATAAATTAGTTTGCGACTCTCTAAAAAATTTTATCCTACGAGAAATGTAAATGAACGAAATGATCCAATTGAAAATTTGAACCTAGGTTGGGGCTCCTTTGATGTCCATTAACTTTCTAAGTGCAACATTGAACAAACTTACCCGTGGTCACAGACTAGAACATCACAACTGCCATCCGAACTCGAATCCCAGAGCATTTTTTCTCGCCAAGTTTTCTCACCTGAAAGTTTTTATTCTTTTCTAGGGTTTATTCTTTTCTGTGGGGTCGCAGCAAGTTGAGTAAAATAAATAGGGTTTACGTACCGGAAAGTTGAGGAAGGGCCCTTGCCTGCATGGCACAGACCCTTGCCTGAATCTCGTATGTCCCGGCCTATACGTGTACGTAGACCCTAAACTGCATGGCATAGGCCCTTGCGTGAGTCTCGTATACCCCGGCCTATACGGTGTACGTAGACCCTAAACTATATGACGTAGACTTTTGACCGTATGGCGTAGACCCTTGTCCGCTTGGCGTAGACCCTCACTTCTATGGCGCACGTTAGACCGTTACCTGTATTGCGTACACGGTGATGTGCTGATGAAAAACGTCCCGTCCACCACGGGACGTAAATGTGACGGTCACGGGGACGGTGGACGTGAGACGGGGCGTCCCAGCATCCACAAGCACAATAGGGACGATGAGGGACGGCTCGTCGTAGAGGGACGTCACCGAGGATGGGTTTAAGGGCGAGACGTCGAGCTTGACGATGGACGTCGCTTTGATGACGTCCACCTCGTCAGCCGCTGCGGTGGTCTCTGTTCCGACGAGTGAACAAAATGTTGAATAATTTTGTACATATAAGATTGTATTATAGATCATCTTAGTACGAAAAAATTATATGTACATCTATACAAATAATTGTACAAATAATTTTTTTCATTCTAAATTGCATTTCAGATCATCTTAGTACGTACAATATCATGTACAATTGTACGAATAATTTTGTACATATTAGATTGTATTTTAGATGATCATAGTACGAACAAATATATGTACATCTGTACAAATGATTGTACAAATAATTTTTACATATTAGATTGCACTTTAGATCATATTAGTGAAAATTTTGTACGTTCAATGCTCACGATTCACCTGTTAAAATATTCTACTTTAATCGATCTACAATAATAAATATGCCTCAGAATTTGAATATAATAATATTTTTTGATTCATTTATCAGGGATAACAAGGAACAATGGATAGTTTTTTCAGGTTAGTATACAATCAGCATAATTCTTGTTTGTTGTTCTTGGAAAAAAACGCGATACCGTACTCATAATGGCTGAAATGAGTCGACCCTGAGAATTGCATGCATACTGTTAGGCTTATACACAACGGCACTTGATATCGCATTCACAATGATAACTGCAATAGTCCTAACTTCACGTAAAAAAAACAGCACAAGATCTCATTCAGGAGCTGATTGCAAACTTCTGTTGAATTTACGACATCGTAAGTATCTCCGAGACCTAAGTCTCAATAAACTTCCGTCGCCGTGCACAGTAAATCTCAGGACAACATTTTGCGATCAATCTCATCAATCATCTGGGGAAAAATGGAACGCGGAGCAACACAGGAAAAACAACCAAGTCCACGAATTTATTGCGCTGCCTCAATGCCTACACCGAAAAATAGCGCCGCAAATTCCAGAATACGGGAATCGTGAATCCCGTAAACGACGAATTGCGGAATGCAGGAAGCGCGAACATTGGAAGGCAAGAGTCGCGGTTCGCGGACTGTAGGAATCTCGAACTTTGAAATATTATAATCAGGAATGGCAGACTGTAAGACTTACGAGTCGCGTAAATTATTAATCACAGACTGCGGTAATCGCTAATGGGGAATGCAGGAAGAATGAATCGCGGGAGATGGAAATTTAGAATCACTGCATGAAGGATGAATTGTGCAATGCAACAAGCATGAATAGTTGAATGTGGGAATCGCAAATCACGGAAAGGAGGAATAATAAATTGCCTAATGTTGGAATCATGGATGTTGTAATGCAGGAATGGTGAATGTCGGAATACACCTCGTGATGAACCACATCAAGCACCGTGTCACGAACAGATAAGGATTACCTAGAGCTCGCAGCTCGTTTCCGCGCACCTGAAACAATCATTAACCAAATAAAGTTCACAGTTCATTACTACGCACCAGAAAGTAGTGTCAGAGCGACCCGTTTCTGTACTTCCTCCTCGGCCTTCGGGTCAACGTAGGCCTGGAATGGCGGTCCGTTGCCGCGGGTCCAGTCGTCTGCGTCGTTGACGGTAAAATTGACAGAAACTGACGCGCCGTCAACAGATGCCACGCGCACGTGGGTAGAACCAGAAAGTGAAGGCGGACAATCGTTGACGTCTGTCACTTGTACCTGTCGCAAAGGATGGATTGCAAGGCAGGTCAATCAACTGGTTTTTGACACAATATTCAGCGGCATCGATTGTACCTGTCATAGAATGGATTTATTTAATACATCAGGTAGACCAACTCCTCCGACCTTCAGTATCACTTTATTGCGATCGCTTCTGCTGCCTAACGGTTCTGCTCTATATTACAGCATCAAAACCTTTTATTTACTGGCGTGCGGTACCTCTAGGCAAAACGTGAACCAGAAAATATTGGAAATTTTAAATATACGTGCTTAACAGTCTGGAAATTATTAACATTAAGAGTAATACATAGAAAATTAATACTTTTTTGCGATTTGTTTTGATATAAATGCATTTTGCTTATTGAATTTTAATTCTGGGTTACCTATTTATTTTTAAAATTTTAAAAGCAATGATAATGATGGTGATGATCATGATGATAATGATAACGATGTAAGTCGTGGTCGAGTCGATTGAGATTGATTGCAGTAGGTTATGTTATAGGTTATGGTGTTACGTTAAATAAGTTGTCTTCACTGAGCGTAACTTTCGGGCGTTTCTCCAATCTGTCAGTTTTGTCAGGTTAATTAACGCGTAGCCGGTGCTGCTTGGTGATAGCGCTTGTCAGCATGCGAGATAGTTTAGAGGTCAGAGTTAAATTTTTCTGTAGCAAATATGTTTTTCATGTTCTTTGGACCCATTACAACAGGTGAAAATGGTACAATGGGGGCAAAAAAATTACGAGAAGAATAACACGATTACTTTCCTTCTTAAAACACTAACTGGTAAACAAAATTAAGAATAATATCCTTGGTTACATTGCTAGCTACTCAAATTGCTAACTACCTAAGCACTGATTATAACTGCTACATAGATTAGAAATAGTAAAAATAGTAAAATGTCCCCCAGTCTATCGGGTCGGGGTACAGTGGGACAGTCCGTGGAGCACTTTGGGTCACTTTACCTAATCATGATATAATAAAAATTACCGGTATAGTACAATTTCAGGTCAGAATTTGATCCTTTAATTATTACGCATTTATTATGGTTGCAAAGAATGGCTTTAATGCTTCCTATACAGACTGATACAACATTAGCTGCACCAGTATATACAAAATTGTTCCGTTTATATACGACTCGTGTAAAATATTTCATATTCGTCATTTACATCTGTTCGCTCTGTTATTAAGCTTGAAAAATGTGTTATTAGCTTCGTGAAACCAAATGCAACAAGACCTTATTAAAGAAGCCTTGGTTCTGTCTGCAATGGTTTAAAAAATTTTTGAACTTCTCCCTAGCACCAATTCTTCTTCTACTGATTTTGATGAAATATGTAAAATACGCAATTTTTCTTCTGATGAATATGACGAAGAGCCTGGTATCTATTTCAACAAATATTTGATGGCGAACGATCAATTTCTTTTTCATATTGGATGGTCACGGCTTGAGGAATGGGAAGGTCCTGGGACGTGGACACTGTCCCAGAGTGCCCTAAACGAACTGTCCCATTAATTGTACCCCTAACCACCATTTTGCAATAATTCGACTACAATTTTCATATTAATGAACCAAGTTGCTATTTATCTCAAGTAAATAATTTTGAACGCATAATATAACAATTTATCACACAGTCAAGCATTAGTTCACATAATAGGCGCTGTTATTACATTTAAAAGCAAAGGAAAATATTTAGCGGCATACTTCATGACAAATTTACAAAATATTGCTCATTGAAGAATAACGGACAGAGCAACGCGTATCTCAGCCACGTCAGTCAAGGAACTTACTTGTGTGCTATTACTATATTATACTATTGTTCAATATTATCTTTCAATATTTAAAACAATTGTCATGTCTCACTGTGCCTCCCTTTCCCCAACTGCGTTATTGGCAAGTAAGTCACCTTGTACGTGATGTGATGGACCAAAATTATTTTTTTTCAAGTTTTCACATTTTGAAAATGGCTATTTGAAATTGGTTGGGTGAGGAATGGTATTGGGATATAAGAGGATGATGGGGCTGAGGCAAGGTATATGGGGTGTGTTTCGCTGTGGGCAGGTATTAAGTAAAAATCGTTTGGTTTTTTACCTGAATTTCTATGGGCCAATTACAAATTTGTTTTTTATTTAGGAACTGAAACCGTGTAAAGTGAAGTTCAATCGCAAAGCTATTCCTTTATTTCAGTGTTATTAGTGAGTGTTATCGAAGAATAATGAAGATTTATTTCCCTCCCATCGAGGATCATTTTGAGTTTTAGGAGTTGGTCCTAACAAGCCCCAGTTAGTCCTTTATTTCGGCTGTGCTTATCATTTAGATGGGATTATTTCCGACTGTTTTCTTCCGGCTCCGATCTTGTGACTTCATTTGCGTTAAGTCATTAACAAGTATCGTGTAGTTTGCATTTGTGCATGGAAGGGCAATGTCATGTGTACCTAGAATCTGTAGTGAACCGGCGGGAAGGCAAGCCCCTTGAGTGGGTCTAGTGGAGACCACTTGCACAGTCTATGGTCTAGTAGAGACCATAGATGTTGTTCTGCCAGTAAGAAACACGTCAATAATTTAGGTTATAACTAGCCATTTTTTTAAGTTGGGCGAATAATGGTAATTAATGAACTGAACGAATAGCACCTTTCACATCGCAAGCCGAAGAGTCAACATTCCATAGACACGACGCTGCTGTTGTGTTAACATACAAAACTGTAAACTATTCTTAACCTTGATATTTACGGTAAAGAAGAATACGGAATACCCCAGAGTTGTGTGGCTGATCAATGAATAGAAAACGCAAACGAGGCACCCAAGCCGATAAAAGCTCCACGTTGAGCCTATGAATCTATTGCGTAGTCATTTTATCCGTTCCCATCCTTTCTCGAGTCTATTTATTTTTCGCTTGCTATTAATCTTATGTGTGACGTGCCCTCGAAGTTCTTTTGAACCAGAAGCCACGATAAATGCTTCGTAGAATAATAATAATATTAATAGCAGTAAATTTCTGAGACCGAGAACCTACCACGACGGTGGCCCGGGCGGACAAGGATGGTTGGCCGCCGTCCCGGGCCTCGACCCGCAGGAGGTAGAGGGGCACGGACTCCCGGTCCAGTGGACGGGCCACCAGGACGGCCCCGCGCCCGTCCACAGCGAAGTGCCCGTGCGGGTCTCCCGAAGGGTGAATGCTGTAGCGCAGCGCTCCGTTCGCCCCCTTCGCCCCCAACATATAGAAAGTAACTATTAAATCGCTGCAAAAAGGATTTAATTGTTATATTGAGTTCAATATATTGTGATAATATTGAAACGAAGAAATGAATTTGTTTGTCATGATTGTGTCTATCGATGGATCACCGTTACAGCCCGTTATCTGCCACCGGCTCACCGTTACTGCCCGTTATCTGCCTCCGGCTCACCGTTACTGCCCGTTATCTGCCTCCGGCTCACCGTTACTGCCCGTTATCTGCCTCCGGCTCACCGTTACTGCCCGTTATCTGCCACCGGCTCACAGTTTCTGCCCGTTATCTGCCTTAGGCTCACCGTTACTGCCCGTTATCTGCCTCCGGCTAACCGTTACTGCCCGTTATCCACCGCCGGCTCACCGCTACTGCCCGTTATCCACAGGCCGGCTCACCGCTACTGCCCGTTATCTGCCGCCGGTTTACAGTTACAGCCCGTTAAAATCGTCGGCTCACCGCTACTGCCCGTTATCTGCCTCCGGCTAACCGTTACTGCCCGTTATCCACCGCCGGCTCACCGCTACTGCCCGTTATCCATCGTCGGCTCACCGGGTCGGCGTCGGAGGCGGTGGCGATGAAGAGAACGTCGCCGAGCGCGACGTTCTCAGCGACGCTGACGGTGCGGGCGACGTTGGCAAAGACGGGCCGGTGGTCGTTGTCGTCCAGCACACGTACCGCGACCCGTGCCGACGAGCAACGGGTCTCGTCGTCGAACCCTTCCAAGCCCTGTCGGGTCACAACCCTAAGAACATCACCATTTGCCGCAAACAATTGGAATTTTATAATATGTCCGCTAAATTTGCTCATACTTGAAAATAAAAATTATTTTCCTCATTTTCAACTACCAAACATAGATAATTTAGAATTTAAATGCCCTCCAAGATAGCTAATATCGTGCGCTCGAAAAATAGTTAACCAATCGCAAAATAGTCAACGAGTAATCTACTCAAATAATAGTCAACTACTTATAAAAATAGTCAACTTCTCAAAAATAGTCAACTAAGCAACAAATGGTCAACTAGTCAACTACTCATAGTCAACTACTGGAAAAATAGTCAACGAGTCAACTACTCAATAAATAACCTCAAACCTAAACGATGTTGAAAGTTAAACTGCGAGTGAAATACAGGGTGCGGCGCGGGAACTTACTTATTTGAATTGCGCGCCACGTGGCGGCCATTAGTCCTAGGAAGGTGGCGCCATGCGCAATATGGTGCGCGGGCTATGAAGTTTTTCGTCCACTCAGTTCAGTTGCGACCATGCAGTGGTCGAGAGAGGAGCGCGCGTTCGCAGTCTCTGTGTACTTTTCTAGTGGCCGGTCTATCGTTGCAACCCAGCGTGCGTTTAGGAGGCAGTTTAATGTCGCGCCCACTGGTCGTGTTCCTGGTCGTACATCAATCGTTCAGTGGGTGAATACTTTTATGAATACAGGCAGTGTGTGGAAACAAAAACCAGGTCCTTCCAAAACCACTAGGACGCCAGAAAATGTCGAGAGAGTAAGGCAGGCGGTTTTGCAATCACCTAAGCGATCCGCACGAAAACATGCATCTGCGCTTAGAATTTCCGATCGCACAGTTAGGCGAATTCTGCACCAAGACTTAAAATTCTACCCTTACAAACTGGCAGTGGTGCAAAAACTAAATCCACGTGATTTTGTTTCACGACAAAGGGCATGTGAAGCCATCGTTGAAAACTTGCCTAACAACGCACTTGTGTTTTTTAGTGATGAAGCACATTTTCATCTGTCAGGGTGTGTGAATAAGCAAAACATGCGATATTGGAGTGGTGTGAACCCCCGAGAACTTCATGAGAAGCCCCTTCATGCATAACGAGTGACTGTTTGGTGTGCCTTATCCAGGACTGGCATCATAGGCCCATGGTTTTTTGAAGAGAACGATAGGGCAGTTACAGTCACTTCTGAACGGTACATTCAGATGATTCAAGAGTTTTTCCTTCCAAAACTTGATGAACTTGGTGTAAGAAATGTGTGGTTTCAACAAGATGGGGCCACGGCTCACACAGCACGCGCTTCAATGGCTCTCTTGCGCGAACACTTTCCACAACGCGTGATCTCCTTAAGGGGCGATCTCCAGTGGCCAGCGCGCTCGCCGGACTTAGCCCCCTGCGATTATTTTTTGTGGGGATACTTGAAATCCTTAGTGTACACCAATCGTCCGAGGACCCTAGCTGAACTGAAGAACAACATTCGCGTTGCTATTGCTGACATTGGTCCAGACATGCTTGAGAAGGTGGAGCGAAACTTCCGATCTCGTCTGACAAAATGTATTGAACAGCATGGAGGTCACCTACAAGATGTAATATTCAAGAATTAAACTTGTAAGTAAACCCAACGAAACTTTAAATGTAGCTCTTTGTAAAAAAGAAAGAATTAAAACGCTATCTTTAATACTTTTTACTTTGTGATTTTTTTAAAAGAGTAAGTTCCCACGCCGCACCCTGTACTTTGGCACTGCCTTCATTACAAATAATATATATACATAAATATTGATATTTCAGTAAGATGAGTCCTGATCCAGAAATATTGCAACGATACAAAAAAGAGATGCAAAAAAATCTCTGCCCGCCAAGACTCAAGTAACTGCTGGTATTATAACTACTGGTATTATAAGCTGGCAGGCATTTAGTTTGATCTCATTAGAGTTTGTTGAAGCGAGGCTTGCTGCCTGCACTAATTACAAGTCGTTTATACGAGAAGAAGTCGAGCGCCTGGTGAACTGGCTAGAGATTACAGCAATTTGATCTTCTTAAGTACAGTATTAAAATCATCCCCGGAATTAAACATTAATTAAAGGGTCTTTTATAGACGCCTCTCATGAGATCCAGAGTTAATTTTACGGCCAGAATTACGGTAAGCTATGGGTAAATAAGGACATTAGTTCGATCGGGGTGAAAGGATTTATTTTTTTTAATAATAATTATGCTTGAAAGAATTACGACGGCACTTCTTTATAATAGGTAACAAGAATTTCTCGTTTCCAGTCAATGGACAGGCATTAAAATGTCATTTTAGGTTAAAAGAAAACCAAAACTTAATGATACACTGTAGTTTTTTTAATTCAATTCAATCCACACTAAAACATTTCGTGGTGAAACAAAATAGCACAACGAGATCCAATAGAAGCATGGAATTTTGATAGAAAGAAATCGGCAAATAGATAATGTTAAAAAATTTTTTCCTAGCACCTAATATTCCTAATTATAAATTGTTTGCCTACAGCTGTGAATGAATCGAAACTAAGAAAAAAAGAACATAATAAATATGGTTAAATACATTGGAGTGCGATCTCTCAATTTTCAACACATAACATCAGCATGCGGACTGATGTAAATGTTTTCAACCTTTAATCGCCTCTATATCCTCAGAGATATGATCGAATACTCGTCAGAAAAACAAAAAGTTTCGGCGCATCTTCATACCAAGATGGGCTGTGACGAATTCCATGCATGGGCATACAATTTCATTATCCAGTGAAACTCAAAAAAAAAAAAAATTGTGCGTTGAATACTTTGTGATATCTTAAGAATTGATTTTTAAAGATTCGAATTCCAGTAGAGAGTTTGAATTTCAGTAGAGTTTATAAATTCTGAGCCTCAAAACGTGCCTCAACTTCTACCCAAACTCACGTTATCGGACACCTGCACGATGAAGCTCAAGCCAGCTCTGTGCTCCGGGTTCTCGTAATCCAGAGGACTGCGCGTGATGAGCTGGACCAGTTCTCCAGCCCCAGCTGACCCTTCAACAGGTTCACCAGCATGAGAACCATCACGAGTGCCGTCAGGTGAACCATCGTGGGCACCAGTATGAGAACCATCACGAGTGCCGTCACGTGAACCATTGTGGGCACCAACATGATTACCATCATGTATGCCAACAGGCGAACCACTAGAACCAGAGCCTGCAGGATGGTCTCCTCTGGTGCGGTTGTCGACTACAACGAGGGCATCCACCAGCGACCAGCCAGGGCCGCTGAACGGCACAACCTGACAACATATACCAGAGTACAACAACTTTACCAGGAGCTCATTTATACAAAAATTATGAATATTTTACAATTAGGGAGTTTGATTATTACCTCATACGGAATTATAGTACTTTTTTAAATTTTAACCGATGTGCGTAGCCTTCAGCTCTTTACTCGAGCAATTTGTTTTCAATAACTCGCATATATACACTCGACACTGAACGAAACGAAAGACGGTTCATGGAATTCGTAAGATAAAGAAAAGTGAGAGGTAAAATTAGAAACTTTCAGATACACAGTTTCACTGAATTTACCAATTATCTCACTCGTGCTTTTGCTGCTTCGGCAGCAAAGACCATTTACTGTCTCACTGCGTCAGCTGAGCAGCAAAGATCATTTACTGTCTTACTGGGTCAGCAGTGCAGCAAAGACCATTTACTGTCTTACTGTGTCAGCAGTGCAGCAAAGATCATTTACTGTCAGCGCAGCAAAGATCATTTACCCTCTTTCAAAGTCTTTCTAGTTTTCTACGAGACGTGGAGAAGAGTGGCGTTCGTTTTCGAAGTTCGAAGGAGACTTAAATCTTGGAAAAGCTCCTGAAAAAATCTGTGAAAATTCTGGCTTGAGAGACACGTTCTTTGTAGGTCCGGCGAAGTTCACGTGTTTTATAGCACCAACGAAGTTCAGGATCGTCCAGGGGGTGGTTTGCCTTTCTTTAAACAAAGCAATTTTTCCAGGAAGAAAACGTTGTTCATCAATGTCCACTGATTAATATTATCCACAATATTGATGCATATAATTGATACAACGATATTGATACAAAAAGTAATATAATAAGAATTTTGAATTAACAGCTTCTGTTGCATTCGGTACATAAAATTGCAAGTGGAAGAAATATGCCAAGTTGAAATCCTTCCCACTTTACGAGAGCAAGCCAACAAGGACTTAGCCTTAAAGCTATTAAAAAGACATGTAATGTAAGCAAGCTAAATCATTCGGCATGCTTTTGTTTTAGAGACAAGTATTTGCATATCGTTGAACCAAAACACACAAAGAGATATTGTGATGGTAACCGAGATGCGGGGAAATTAGCACCGAATAAGCTTCTGCACTTTCTTGAAAGGCGATATTGGAACATAAATTGGTTGCAAAGTGCTGGAATACCTGATTAAAGCGTGACTTGGGCGAATATAGTTTTAAAAGAAAGTCTTTTAAGACTAAAATTATCAGAAAGAATGAGCATCACGTGGACATATAGATAACATACAATTAGTATGAGGGCATTGAAAGGCCAATAGAAAACAGAACGTTTAAAATGACACAATTGAGCATCGTTTAGACTAACATCAGTTTTAAATATTGAGGAAACGCTTGTACAGATAGCTAATAAAATGCGGTATTGAGGTTACCCTCGAAACTTTTAAGAAGCATTGCTAATACAAAACTGTAATTATAACTAAAAATTTTATACTACGCGCTTTTATATACGCGCTTTGAAAACTTGATATTGAAGCATCGCATAAATGAATAACTTAAAAAATTTCCCACTCTGCAAAAATACGCTTCACCAAAATTCAAAATTGAAAAATTCGAAGGAATTACCGAAAAATACGGTACAGCTGTAATTACAACCGAAAAGTACGGTTGTAAGGCGGCGTTGCGTGGCTCGGAAAATACGGCATTGAAGCATAGCTGGACGTCTAGACTGGAAAATGCGGCGTATATTCATCACTCAGGCTGTATACATAAAATAAGGCACAGATGCATCGCTCGGGCGCACCGCTGTTAAAATTGAAGCATAGCTGACCTCGCATACGAGAAAAGACCAGCCGGGGTCGTTTGAAGAGCCTCCTCGTGTCACGGTGCATGCGCGGAAAATAAATTGAGTGGATCCAGTAAGGGAAATTATATATGTGCTTCGAATTTGTTTAGTTTAATGTCACATTTTATTTCATAATTGACGGACGAAAGATGTGGAAGGTGAACGTTGTATGGTTGTTGTGCGTTGTGAAGGCGGAACGGAAATGGTAATTTTTTGGGGGTTGTTAAAGGAATTAGTGTAATATGGATCAGTGAATAAATTTTATGAATTCGCGCATTTATGTCGACCGAACGTTTATTTATTTTGTTTTGTGAGTCAAAATAATCTTATTTTCTTTTGTCGCGTATGAAGAAAGTCTAGTGACTTGAAATTCAAGCCTGAAATTTTGGAAGAGCCTGAAGGACCCAGACAATATAAATTATGAACATGTATGGTATATTTGATCCTAGACCATAGAGTTGCTCATTATTAATTTGGTTATTTAAAAAAATCAATTAAAAAAATAAAAGTTATTTGTTCACAAAAACATGAAAACCTTAGTCTTCATTAAATTGCCTGGAAGCAAGAAGCCTTTATTCATTAGCTAACAAGCACACATTTTTCGTTCATGGCTTTGAAAACAAGAAGTTTTTGCTCACAGCTTAAAAACAAGAAGTTTTTGTTAATTTGTTTTACCCAAAAAAGTCTCAAATCACGATTTTGAAAACAAGAATTCTGAAGATTACTGGAACAAATGCAAGAGAATTACTGGTTTAAATGCAAGGTGCCTCATTCACTGGACAGAGAGTAAGAAGTTTCATTCAGTGGACAGAGAGTAAGAAGTCTCATTCACTGGACAGAGAGTAAGAAGTCTCTCATTCACTGGACAGAGAGTAAGAAGTCTCATTCACTGAACAGAGAGTAAGAAGTCTCATTCACTGGACAGAGAGTAAGAAGTCTCATTCACTGGACAGAGTAAGAAGTCTCATTCACTGGACAGAGAGTAAGAAGTCTCTCATTCACTGGACAGAGAGTAAGAAGTCTCATTCACTGGACAGAGGGTAAGAAGTCTCATTCACTGGACAGAGTAAGAAGTCTCTCATTCACTGGACAGAGAGTAAGAAGTCTCATTCACTTGACAGAGAGTAAGAAGCCTCATTCACTTGACAGAGAGTAAGAAGCCTCATTCACTTGACAGAGAGTAAGAAGCCTCATTCACTTGACAGAGAGTAAGAAGTCTCATTCACTTGACAGAGAGTAAGAAGCCTCATTCACTGGACAGAGAGTAAGAAGCCTCAGTTTACTTGATTCAGAGTAAAATCCTTTGTTCAGTGGATTAACAGAAAAAAAATACCTCCAAGCCTTATTACGACATAAGGCAAAGACCAGACATCTTCAGCAGGTCATCATGAAGATTAACAAAGGCATTAGGAGTAATAAGTCTAAAACGTCTCATGTTTTAAGCTTCAATTGAGATCCTTTAAATCGTCGAGCTTCTTCAGGTATGCAGCGGCTTTGTGCTCAGGAATGCACGCAGGAAATGAAGTCCTGCATATGGGAGTTAAGGCCTACAATTCCGAGGCATGCACTACCAACCTAATTAGAATATGGACGAAATTTTGGTCTTTTAGGCGGTATTATCAACGAAATAATGATCTCTGTTGTAACCAAACTGATTTCATTTCATTTTTTGAGAATTCTTTAGTGATATCATCTATGTTGAATCCATTCACGAATTAGTGGTCAGCAAAATAAAATATTTCGACAGAATTTGTTAAGTGTTAAATTCCTATTGAAATAGTTTAAAAGAATATGCAATTTCAATGCATACGAAAATTTCTACCAATACATAAATATCATTCTGAATGATTAGTATCCATGAAAAAATGTTTAGGACGAATGATCATTCTTGAATAAATATTTCTTTATAAATCAAAATCATCTCTTGAAAATACGCGGGAGAAATGCAGTGGGAAAAAGTTATCCATCAGAATTTCAGAATCAACGTAATTGGGAGTTCATGGCAGTTAGCGTGATAGTTCATAAACGTTGGTAAACACAGCGTCCAAAACATACTACATATACTAATTTATAGTGATATAAACGGTTAACTTTTTCAACTTAGATTTGAACGTTCGAAAAATTTCCTCGAAAAATAGACGTCAGTTAACGCTAAAATACCTTGCGCAATAGAAAAAAATTAACGCTAAAATAACCAGTGCAAGAAAACCGAAGTGGATGTCAGTAGACGATAATATATGAAGTGAGTTAAAATAAAGTTTACCTTAATAAAAATAACGAAAGCATTAATTTGTGAAATTGTCATAATTAATGAAACAATTCAACAAGAAACGCTAAGGCAGTCGACGTGAGCACCGCCGTAAGAGATTTCTCCAGCGGCAGCGGAATGAATTTTTGGAATTCACGGTAAATTTAAATCCCGCAATGAGCTAAAGAATTGCGGAGAAGATTAGAAATATTTCCGCATTTATTTTTGAGTGCGGATTTCAGGTTTTGCTCCGGCTTTGCAGTGAACTCGCCATATCCGGAACTAATGGAGAGGTTAAATATAATTACGCTTAGGAATTTTAGGGGCAGGAAAATGTTGTGGGTAAGCGCACTTAACATCTTCGGGTGAAAATCTGAAATCTGCGGATCTTCGGGTGATGTTCATAAGCAAGAAAATGCATAAATAAGGATTGTTGGATATAATTTTGAAAACAAGTGCGATAATGAATCAAGACAAAATCTCAATGATTTCTAGTAATGACCTCCAAATTTCAGCAATCATATTATAAGAATATAAGAATATAGGAATATATAAGAATGCAATAATATAAGAATATAACAATATAACAATGTAATTAAGAGGACCGGCTTGGTGAAAAATCTAATATTTTGGCTTCTCCGTTTTCTTGGCTCATTTCGTAGCTGCTGAAAAGGCTCGTCTAACGCAACAAACCTCGTGTATGTGCGTGCTCTAGTTTTTGCGTAAAGCAATTTTAAAAATATATAAAATGAAACTTTTTTAACAATATGAACAGAGATTTCTTTTGAATAAATCTGTATACATAGATCCTTATTCTCGTTAATTACAAAGTGTTTGCACTCGTTTGAAAGCTACAAGCGATGCGCGTTCAAGAAAGCAAATACCGGTACCACGGTTATGCATGCAATAATTTTTGCGAAATGCAGTTCTAAACTTGTATAAAATGAAC